AACATGGGTTGGGGGGGGTGGGAAGCCTTAGACTGGGACACCCTGGGTATCTGAGGTTCCTAAGAGTCATAAGAGGCCCTGAAAATCCAACAATGCAAATTTTAAAGATCCAGAGGGGTCAGTGTAGGAAGGGAGGTGATCCAGTGTGAGACCAGGTAGAGCTAAAAGCTCATCCAAAGGCAAAGCAAGTGATGGAGCCTGGCCGGGAACAAAGTCACAATTCAGGAAGGAAAAATGGAAGCGGAGTGAACCAAAGAGGACAGCAGCCCGGCTCCAAAATCGCTGCCCATCTAGAGATTCCCCACAAAGAAGGGGAGGGTTAATGCTACACGGACATCAAGCATCACGGACAGGCCTACAGGAACACCTGGAAGAAATGAGATTTAAGAAATGACCAGAATGCAAACCTCAGAAGAGGAGGTGGTGACCCTAACCCAAGCAAGGTAGGGCAGACCAAAGAGAAATCGATGACTCCGTGATACTGCAAGACATTAAAACAACATCCCAAGACAAAAAAAAAAAAGAGCCTGGACCCTACATGTCAAAAAAGAAATAAAAATGTCCTGAGCCACTATAACCAGGGGGTGAAGGAAGCACGACGAAGCCAGTCGTCACCTCCTGAAGGGTCTCAGCCCCCCAAAAGCGACTGCTGCACTGAAGGACTACAGGCAGGATCCCGAGTCCCGGCCCGGGACTGCCGCAGCTTGCACGCCGGAGAGCTCCCTCTGCGAAGCTGAGCACGGGTCTCTCGATCTCCGAGGAGACCACGTGCTGGTGGGGGAAGGGCATCAGACTTCAAAGGGGGGGTGGGGGAGGATTCCCGGCCCTTTGGGGGAAGGGGCGTCCGAACACCCCGAGGCCAGCCAAGGGGGCGGACACGACCCCAACCGGGGAGAGCAGGGGCAGGGCCTGGGGACTCACGTGGGCTCAGCTGATTGGCTACAAAGGTACTCAGTAGGGGGGGCATCACAAGCAGCCTCTCCGCCCCTCGCCGAAGCGTTCTAAGAGCAGACCCTTCGCCGCTAATTGGGGAGGGGGGCGACGGGCGCAAAGGGCATTGGGCAGGATCGCAGGGTCGCGGGGTCTCCAGACGACTCCTACCGGGAGCCGCTAGAGCCAGGACGGCCCAGATGCGCAGGCGGGCGGAAAACTGAGAGGAGGAAGCGGAAGTCACGTGAGAGCATCCGAGGCGTCCATCGAGGTTTCCATGGTAGCCCAGGGAGGGGCGGGTGTGACTGCCGTGTGCGCACTGCTTTCTGGGGAAACGTAGTTTGTAGGCTTGGGTGGGTTGTACGCGTTCGCCTGGTCTCGGGGCGCCTGCTCTTATTGGTTCCTGATTCTGCCCTTGCCTCCTTCCCTGGGGGGCATTTAGGAACCCTCTTCCTCTCGCTGTTGTTCCCTCAGCCGTGCAGGCCTGGGAGGGAGGCTCTGTCAGGGAGTGGAGGCAGGGGATGGAGTGTCCTCTTCAAAGAACGGACCCCCAGTGCGGGGCAGAGGCGGGGTGTGAAGGGCTTTGAACGCTGCCTTTAGCGTTAGGGTTATGTGATCTGGAGACTATAGGGAGGGACCCCCTGGAGCATCTCGGCGGCTGAATGGAGGGGAGAGGGGACCCACGTTGGACAGAGGGGCCCGGGGAGGGTCCGAGCGCCAGTGCGGCTCCCGGGGCGACAGGGTCAGGCAGCTTGGCGGATGACCGCCGCAAGCACGAGGGACCAGGGTTGCACGTGGGAGGGGAGGAGGAGCAAATGACAAATGTTTGGAGGCCTACCTTGGGGAGGAGGGCACGGGTTAGCTGGGCTAGTCTTGGCCGCGGAGAGAAGAGGGTGCCGCCAAGCCAGGGAACCGAGGAAGGCCGCCTGAGCCCCCTGGAAGACAGTGCTTCGGAGCCAGGGGAGCGGGCTGGCAGGGATGGGCACCCCCAGGGTTCACCTCGAAACAGCCAGCGTCCGCTTGGGTTGTTGGCCGATGGGCCGAGGGAGGGACCCCTGGTTGGTAGGTCGAGGTCCTGGACGCTTGGGGAGCGTCTTCAAGGGAGGCTAAGGATGGTAGCCTGAGGGCTGTGGGTCAGCTCCAAGGGAGGAGGGGGGAGGGAAGCGCTGGACAGATCTAGAGGACAGCGCCCACGCTCGGCCCCCACCCTCATGGACACGTTTAGAGGCCAGGTACTCCTTCTGGTCAGTCTGGTATTCTTAGCACCCGGAGCCCAGCCACACAAAGGCGAACCGTTAGAGAATGAGAGTGAGCTGGGGGCACTGAAGGAGGGGTGGCTGGGACTGGTCCCCCGTGGTCTAGGACACCGTGCACGCTGGGCTTGGGAGGTTAGGAAGGAAGAGCCCCCTGGGCCAGAGAGTGAGGCTAGTGGTGGTGTAGACACACTTCCCCTGTGTGTGTGTATGTTGGGGAGTACAGAGTTACTAAGTGGGAAGAATAACACAGTCAGTTACAGTGTAGACAGCATTGTGGGGGTGGGGACAATGGGGCTAACACATGGGGGCCTAGTGACCACCCCTCTCTGACAATTAAGGAACATCAGTTGTTCTGTGGGACCCATCAGCATCTTGCCGGTCTTTGTTTGTTTTTGCTTTGGTTGATAAGGCTTTTATAAGCACACTTGTACAAAACTCTGGCCAATTTATTTTGTATGACTGCAATTTCACTATTTCATTTTGTTATTTTTTTTTTTTTATTAAGAATCGTTTATCAACCCCTAGTTACCTAGTGCCAAGTACTGTAATAGGCTCCAGAGATAGAAAGACAGTAATAAAACAATCCTTTATCTTCAGGAAGCTGACATTCTACTGGGGGGGGAGGGGGGGAGGGAAATACAATATATTCATATATAAGTAAACACAAATATATGCAATTTCACTATTTTAAATTGAGGCATTTACACCAAAGGCATATACTTTTGTATGGGGAAAATGAATAACTGTGATCACCAAATTGTATACGAGTTGCAAGAAAGGAAGTCATTAGAAAAAAATGACTCACTCACTGAAATCCCATGGCTTGGAAAGTAATTACACTATTTAATACAAGGCATAATGCTCCATGATATTTAACAATTATTGTTTACTTGAGATCTAGTTACCTTTAGACAAAAATATATTTGACCAAATATAAATGGTACTTTATCTCAATTTGTATCATGTCCTCTAAAATGTTGTCATGCTTCATTAAGTACATTAGTCTTTGTTCTCTGGAGTCCCTTAGTTATTTAGTACTGGAATCTCATAATTGTTTGTCTAGGGTTTCTGGTTCAAGAATCTTAAATGTGTTTTGTTAAAAAAAACCTCATGCTACTTTAAATTAAACATGAGTACTATATAAAGGCAACTTTAGTCTATTTATGTTATTGGAAGAGTAAAAGGACAATGGGTTATTCCAGGTTCTAGTTAAATCCAAATCATTTATAACTAGTTATCATTTATTTTCAATTTATATTCCACCTACTTGCCAAAGGACAGTTAAAGTCCTCTTTCAAAATGAACCACATATTAAATAGGACGAGTAAGAATAAAAACAGAACAGAGACCATTGCAAATGAGCAGAGGGAGTTGGCATTACAAGGCCTCTGTTGTAAGCTCATTATCTTCTAGTGGTGTGATAGAGAGAATGCTGGAAGTAGAAGATTGAAATCAGGAACCCTAGGTTCCAGTTCTGGTACCTTACCTAATTGTATGAATCTTGCAGGTCTTGTCAGTAGACCTGAGTTAGCAGGCTTTCTGGCACCTAGAAGGGTTTGTTGGGGACTAAGAATTTTGCAGGGTGAACACTATACATTTGGGGATGATAACAAGTTAACTTGTAGCTAATTCAGAGGAAGAGCTGACTCAGGGATGGGAAAATGTGTACTGAGAAATTACACAAAATGGAGCAGCAATACAGAACAGTCAATTACAGAATTGAATCAATTGTTAAATGACACAGAATAATTTTAATTTTCTCAGTGGCCAAACAATTATCTAGGGCAAGGGTTCTTATTTTTGTGTCATGGACTCCTTTGGCAGTCTGGGGGAACCTTAGGACCCTGACTCAGAATGATGTTTTTAAATACATAAAATAAACAGCATTGTCCGGGAAACCAGTTACATGGAAATACGGTTATACAAATACTTCTAAAAAAGTTCTTGGATGTCAGGTAAAGATCCCCTGACTTGGGGTGTCCGAATGAATGTCAGATAGTTCTGATACTATCAACCTCCACAGGAGTCTGAGAGAGGCATCCTTTCTTCCAATCTCTGCCTCAGCATCTGTCATGTCTCATTCCCATTTCCTCATGGTCAGACATTCATCACAGCCTAAAAAGCACAACTGTTTATTTTCTTGTGCAGTGGGGCAAGGAGGCTTTTAATATGGCCCGAACATAAGTTTATTCTTTTTTACCTTTGTCAAGTTTCTCTACTTTGTGGAATTCCAGATCAGAGACAGACAAGTATTTTCATGAAAAGCACAAATTCTCTCTATCATTACATCATGTCATTTGTAATTAAATTAAGCTGTATTGCTTTAAAAAGATAGAATACTTCCCAAACCCACCAATGGAGGGGAGTTTTGATACCTAATAAATTGTTACATCTTATTATTGTGGGTCTCACATCCCTCTTTAAAGTTCAGGGTCATTGATTAAGAAAATAAAAAGTAAAACAAGTTAAAATCTAACATTGCATTTCTCAAGAAGTTTACTGTATCAAGGAGAAGTCTTCATTTTTAATTCATGGGTTGTTACTTTAATAATACAGAACAATGGGAGAGACCATTATATTCCCTTGATAAACTACCAGATTTTCAATTCATATTCTGGTAGCTCAGTTTGGGTGCTAATTTGTGTTCAACACATTTTTTCTTATTACATTCCAGTGCATTCATTTCAAACTCTCACTAGTAGATATAATCCAATGACTAGGTCTCTAGGTTTTTGTCTTCCATTCCTCTGAAAACCAGGTCTATCATAGTTGCCATGAGTGGGGCTTGATGGAAGAGAGAGTTGGGGGGATTGAGAAGAAAAGGAAACACAGCTCAGCACAACACAAGAGAACTGGCACAGAGAGGCAGATATAGCTGTTTGAGTTGGCCAGAGATTTCCTAGGGACAAATCATCAGATTAATTAGGATCCAGATTGTAAGCAGCCTCTTCACAAATCTTTTAACACAATTAAAAACAGTGCATAGGTCTAGTTTCCAAAAACAAAACAAAACAAAAAACCTTTCCTCATCCTCAAAAACATAATATAGAAATACATATCTATAACCTGGAAGGCGATTAGAGGAACTGTCACTTTCTATATGTTGCCTCTGTGATAATTGTGTCAATAAATATTAGTCATAATAAACAATGACTTCAAATTTCCAACCTTTTTTTTCTTATACAATAAAATAACTGATGGTAAAATTATTGAGAAGTTCTATATATACAAAACTAATGACTATTGTACATATTATTTAGACCTTATTTCAGCCATTTTAATTATCTCAAGTTTATTTTCTACTTTTCACTGAGTGGGTTTTATTATACATGATACTTCTTGCTTCCTTTTTTTAACTTTATTTTTTGAGGCAATAGTATCTCAGAAGAAAAATGAAGAGAGATCTTGCTCTTCACTCTGAATTCTTCCATTTCCTGCTCTTTTCACCCAAAGTGGCTAAATTTAGAACAAGAAGAAATTAAATGCCACCCTAAGGAAGCATATAAAACCATAGACATTTCAAAGACTTTGGACCATTCTACCCAAAGAACAAAACAAAACAAACAGAAATCCTTTTATCCCAAAGGCACAGAAAATGAAAACATAGTAGAAAATGTGTATGAGTCTATTAGGACCAGATAAGATAAGATTTTTGCTTAGATAAGGCTTCCATATAAATGAGAACACTTAAAACAACAATCTGTCCCAGCTTCCCACACACATAGACACACACACACACACACACACACACACACACACACACACACACACTCTCACTCACAAGTTCAGGAAGATGAAAGAAATAATTCCTTACCTTTACAAACAAGCTTACCAATCCAACAAAAGTAAATCTAGATTTAATTCTGGGTAATTGTCTACCAGTTTTGGGCTGCTAGGTGGCACAGTGGGTAGAGCACTGGCCTTGTAGTCAGGAGGACCTGAGTTGAAAGCCAGCCTCAGATACCTGACACTACCTGTGTGACCCTGGGCAAGTCACTTAATGCCATGCCAAAAACAAACAAACAAAAAAAATAGCCTACCAGTTTCTAACTCAAGGGAAAAAAGAAATCCTAATAATACTAGAGTTCTCTTTCCTGAGGGTGCTCACTTAAACCTACCTGTTCCATTCACAGACATGCACAAGGAAGACCTGTAAAGGTTTTTGACCACATCATGGGGAGTTCTCCCACAGGGACAAATATACTCATCTAGGACTGGAAGCAAACAGCTGATGGGGTGTCAAAAAACAGTGATGACCAGGAGAGGAGGAGAGCACATAGACACAGCCCTATTCTCCTTGGGAAGCCTGCAACAGCCTGCAACGACAGACACACACTCTTGGGGCTGGCACAGACCTACAGAAAATGGGCTTCAGAGCATTTATCTTCAACTGAAATGACTGTCAAGGAATAGTTCTAGACCTTTCCTCAGAGAGACCTCACATCTTTTAAAGTCTCCTCCCATTCTAAAACTCTGACACCCCCCACCCCATTCTACCAATGGAAACCAAATGTTGCCAAGTGCGGATTAAAAATGGAAAATGCATTCTGACAACTTCAGAAGGAACAATTGGGTTCCCTATTTTAGAAAGTGTCATAAAGGAGAAAATGTATCTAGAAAATTAATTTGTCATAAAAGAAGACCCAATAGTCTGCTCACAATCATGGGGCTTTTAGTGCTTTAAAGAATTTCAAAATTATAGGATGAAATATGTTACTTCGTGCAGACTTAGAAACATCTGATCTCCCCACCTAAAAACAGAAGCTGGTCCAAGAGGTAGTTAGAAGGCACTGGAGTGAACAGTCTTGTCCCAGAAGACACTCTGGAGGGACCACTCATCCTTTGCTAAACCTCCCTGGGCACTAATGAAAAGGTCTGTCTAGACACAGAAGGAAAAAGCAAGACCCTCTTCCTTCCTTTAAGATATCAGATTGGGCCCCGGGGGGGCTTCCCATTGCCCATGTCCTTGAAGTCCTTAAATTCTTAGAAATTCCAAATTTAATGTTAAACATCACATAAAGAAACTGAGTCCATAATTTGGGGTATTTGACCTCAGTCTTCCTGTGGGGCTTGTCAGATGACCATCAGGACCTTGCCACACTTGCACAGAGCATGGGGATGCTCTTTGCCTGGCATTCACTAAGGGCTAATGTGGGCTAATGGCCCGCTGTCCCCCATCTCCTGCCTCTACTTCCCTTTTTAACAGCAATTGAATTTGGAGGCAGTTAGGAAAGCAGTCACTTTGATAAGTACAGAAATGCGCTGTCCAACACAGGAAACCTGTAACCCCATTTTGGCCCCATTTTGCCCTACAATTCTGTCTCACTAAGATTCTCGGACATTCTAGGGTCTTAACAATAACCTAGTCTTGCTCTGACAGTTTTCAGACGATGAACGAGAAAGCCCCCGTGACTGCGTGGTCAAATGACCAAATGAAGCAATTCTTCTCCAGCATTTCTATGGGTCAGGACAGCCAAGAGCTCAGTGTCGGGACCGAGGCTATCCTCTGCAAACGCCTTCTCCTTCCTCCCATAAAAGAATAGGCTTGGCACATTTGGGTTCATGGAGAGTGTTAAGAGGTAGAATGAAAACAGTACAGCAGAGAAGAATGTACTTTCTTCTCAACCCTTCTTCACTATATCTAGCCCATCACCCGTCCATCCACAAAGCTGGAACATTTAAACGAATTCTTCATGATGAGTGCCAATATTCCTGCTCATTCCAAGCAAAATACCAGAGCTTCCACATGACAACAAATGCCAGAGAACCTGCAGATCTAGGACCAGCTAGTGCTCTTTCCCAGCAAGCCTTCCAATAGATGGACCCAGCTCAGTAGACGGATGGGACCTCCAACACCTGAAAGGCCTGGCTCCATATAGAGGGGGGAAGTGGTCCCTCTTCCCTCCATCTTTCCCTATCCTTTTTCCACCTGGCAGTTTCTGATCACTGTTGCTGGATCTGCAAGGCAAACATATGCTAATGGATGCAAGAGGAAAAAGAATTTCGGTTATGTCAGACCACAAAAGGCTCTTGTCAAATATGGGGCTTGAAGCAAATGACCTCTCAGGCCCCTTCCACCTCGGACATTCTGGGGTGTTTAGCGTCTGCTCCTTGGCACCAGGATTCTCTTGTGCTGTGTCCTTGTATCCCCAGCACCCAATATGGTACCTGGCCTATAGCAGGCCTTGCTGTTCATTACTGAGGCCATAATGCATCATACTGTTGACATCAGTGGCTTCCTACATCTGCCGGGTGCGTTTACAATCACAAGAGGCTTGGGACTGCTGCTGATTGTGGAAATGGTAACACCTTTCTTCCCAGAAGCCCAAGCCAGGGAAACATTGACAACACTGCATACAGCAAACCAGCCTGACCAGGCTCAGATCCTTAATGGAGGGACTCCAGACCAGGCGTCACTCTGGCTCAGAAACGCGAGGTTCTGGACCTGGCTAGGCAAACCTTGTCAGACCCAGGACTTCTGTGTCCCACGGGCATTTTCTCTTAAATTAACACACCTCCAGCAAGACCCCGTGTGGCTGCTGACCAACATCATTGAATAGCTCCTGCAGACTGGTAAAGCCTCTCATGGTAATATTGCCTCTGTTACCTGCCTGGCCGGAACATGTGCCAGCGCCAGTAACACTCCTGAGAGTCACGCTCTGCCAAGTCGGGTGGGACTCCCTAGCCTGGGCTCTATCTGAGCATCCAGACCTCCCATGACATCGCTCCAAAGGACTGAGGAAATGCAGTAACAGCTTTCTGCACTGTCAGGGACAATGTCTGATCTACCCATTTCAAGAATGATGTAGGCACGCAGACATCAAACTCTGACTAAGGAGATTTGTAGGGGATTGCTGTAATCTTGATGGAGCGGATGCTTTCATCAGGGAGTCTCTTCAGCCACAGAAAGGGTCCAATTTAGATTCGGAGCCCACTGACCAAGAGTAGGGTAGTTTTGCAGCACCCATATGTGGGTTTGGTAGCTGTAGACCCTGCCAAAATGGGGGTGTTCAAATGAAGCAACAAGACCCCATGAGATGGTATTGATGAGGGCACAGGTTGTGTAGCTCCATGCAATCCATCCATGGGAGATCCACCCCACAAGGGCCTCAGCACCATGGGGGTGTAACTAACAAATGGTCTGAGGATGTCCAATATAATGGCAGCTCAAGCCTCATGCTAACAGTACCACAACCTCAGTCATCTCTCACTACTACCAACACCGAGACAAAACACCTAAGTATTGGTATTAAAAAATGATTACTGCCTTTGCTGTGTGTCTGCAAGTCAAACAACCCCAAGTGGATGCCAAAGTGAGCTGGACAAGCAACCCTACAAAACAAAAGCCCCTGGCTCCCTCCCAGCTATCCCTCCAGGATTCCAGCATCAGAGGAGATTCCGGGCTCTACATTGAGTCTCCCTTTCTTGGGTTGCCAGTTTCCAGCTGATGGTTGGGGAGGAGACAGAGTGTTGACATTTCATCAGATAAGGGAAAAAATTAGTTTGCCAAACAACACTAGAGAACCGAAGTGAGTTGTTAAATATGGGGCTTGGAGTGAAGGACCACTAAGCCCCTTCTAGCTCTGTCATTCTAGGATTCTAGGATCAAAGAACATTCCAGGATTTGGAGGGCATTCTCTTTTTTTGGCTCTGCAGTTTCCAGTTATAACTGAGCATTCCAGCAAATAATTTCCACTCGTATTGTGGAAAAAGTGAGTTTGACAAGTAAGATGACAGCATTCTCAGAGGGGCCAGTGGAGGGGCTCACTGGGTCATCTCAGCAGCTGCCATGGATTTAATGAACTTCTCTATTCTGATGAAGCTCAGATCTATCTTCACCACCCCAGAATTTCTGCCAACCTCCAACTTTGCCTCACCAATTGCCTTTCACTCACCTCA